TATGGAATTCATACGATGGACTACAGTGCAAGGTCGTGCATGCAGGACAGCTGACAGATGCATTCCAGGTGACGACCAGTGCCAGACAAGACAGCTTATTCTCCCAATTTCTTTATCCTCCGGTTGTTGATTAGATAATGAAGACCTCGAGGGAAGGCACGGGATACAGTGAACAGCTTGTATGCAACTAGACTATTTAGACTTCACAGACGACCATGATCTTCTAGTCCCTACACACCAAAAAAGTCAGATTAAGATAACTAGTGTAGCAGCAGCCTCTGCATCACTAAGCCTCAACATACACAAGGGAAGAAGCGATATACTTAAATACAATACAGAAAACCCCAACACAATCGCATTTGATTGAAGAACTCTGGATGATGTGAAATCTTTCATATACCTGAGGAGAATCATTAGTGAACAAGGTGGATCTGATGCAGTTGTAAACGCAAGGATTTGGTGAACATTTCCAAATCAGAACAACTGTCAGGCAACACTGAAGGTACGCTTATTAAACACATATATTAAAACAACTTTATTGTACGAAAATGAAACTTGGTGAAACATGACAACCATCACCGATTGAGTAGAGAATTTTATAATGGGATGTATATTCAAGACACTTCAGATCCACTCAGCAGTCATCATTATTAATAACCTTCATTTGTAGGGGAGAAACCAGCCTCTTTCTGGAGAGGGAATTATGTTAACACTCAAAAGATTAATGGAAAAGATATTGCGGAAATCATCTGTCACCATCAAGAAGCAAGCTTTAGACCATATTTCTCAAAGCGAACGGAGAAGAAGCAGACCAAAGTGCATATGGCACTGGGAGTTGGAGGCAAATGTCAAAGGAATGAACAGCACTTATAAGCAACCCGAAAGAAGAGCTTAGTATGTAGGTAAGTATGTAAGTAATCAGGTAGATTAGTAAGGAGGTAAGTAAATAAGTAATCGAGCATGTAAGTTACTAAAATACTCTTACAGGAAAGAAAAGTTTGTAGAAAATCAGTTGATTATTATGGTTTCAATAATAACGCAGTTTTTCTAGTCCTTGTAGATCGATTCACTTAGACTAGTATCAACAGTACAACTTGGTCGACAGAATTCGATCAGCACAAAGAATTGCAAAATCTGATATCGTTGGGACTTAAGTCGTTTGCAGCCTGAATACTTTAGTAATAGAGTCTCAAACTCGGAGACTGGTTGACTTAATTTGAAATCTCACAGATACGCATTGTTGACGATATCCGACTTGCTAGAAGTCTAAGTCTAAGGGTTTACTTTCAACTAAATTTGATCACCTTATATAACATTAGATTATGTCTAAGCTTTTTAGTAACAACCGATGAAATACTTACAAATTTTACTTCCAGGTTTTTCATGATGGTCTGGCTTCAGTTGACTCATGATCTCAACTATCGAAATAATCATGTACTTATTAGATGCTTGGATTTTAATCCATTATTGTATAATCTGGTAATCACACAACATTCACTCAGATATCTTACTAGTTGGATTTCAACAGTAAAGTTATAACTAAAAAATTATTTAAAAGAAAAGTAATTTATGCAACAGATTCGTAACTACTTTGAATGTGTTTATACAAGTTTTCCATCCATTGGTCTTTAAATATTTGAATATGTATATATGGAGGAAACAACTCATTTGTAATGATTGCAATCAATGGTATTTCAAATATTGTACCATCTTCAAATACTTTTAAATTTCAGATATGATCCATTGAAATCGATCTAAAATTCAAGTTAATTTATTTTGTTACTAATGAGTAGTTAAAATTTTAAATAAAAAAAAGTAAAAATTAGGTTTATCGAATTTATGAACTTAGATTTAAGAATACTAAGCTAATAACAACTCCGCCTGTAGCTCTTCTAGAATTACTGCCAGTCCGAAGCTCGGGTAAACGAGGATGGTTGGGCATGGGTTTAGCGACTCCATCCTGTAGAAAACTAACTCGCTAAAAAAACGCTAACCAGAAAAAATAATTAAAATCATTTAAACTCTGACCTGGGATTTAGAAGGTCTTCATTCAGAAGAACTATGATGCCTCATGGTGAAAGCCGAGTTCCTTAGGAAGCCACGAGGCTGATGCCCCTCCTAACAACCAGAGCAACAAATTTTATAGATACATGGAACGTCCGAATAATGTGGGAGACCAGGAAGACCAGTCAAATGGAAAGCTAATAACCGACTTAGTTATAGGGTTCCATAACCAAGACATCAGATTGTTCTTAACACACTAGGTACGATCTAGAGAATTATTAAAAATTATCTGAACAGAATTGAACTGATAAAAAAAAGAATCAATGTTGAATGGGATTTCTCAGACCAGTATCATAATCACAACGAGATGTAAAAATATTTGACAATAGAACTTGACTTTTTCATAGGGTTGGTCAGTTTAGTCAGATCACATTACTTATATTAACATAAATTCTCAATGTCAAACAGTAGGTCATTAATAAAAAAAACATTTAAAAACTACTTGACGAAGTCAACTATAATCTTATTCAAGTTTATGGCACTCATAAACTTGATCATTTTAAAAGAACAAGTGTATGTACATCAGAGATTTATGTATCCAATTAGTCGGTTCAACAAATTGCACAGTTTTTTGCACTTGAACAGCTTGTTGAGTATCCTTATAGAAGAGCTTAGGGTTTATAGCTTTCTAATCATTTCACAGGTTTTCTCATTTGGATAGCTTGTTGAACAAGCTTATAAAAAACTCATGGATTTTAATATATGTGACCTTAAACAATCATTATTTATCACAAGTTAAGGTAAGAGATAAAAATTAGGCAAGTGATTTAGTGATACATATCAATCAGTACTTCGGTAGACTATATTGTCAAGACTAAGATTGTTTAACCTGTTTATGATAAATAACATAGATATTATGAATTTATAGACTGTGGGTTATGAAGCTTCCAAGTGTTTATTATGTTGATACAGTATGGTCTAAAAAGGTTTGTCCTTTAAATTAGCAAACAAGCATTAAATTATAATGTGTACTGTAAATCAGCGAACAATACACAACTTATATATACCAAAGTGTACATCACAAAAGAAATACAAAAGAAGTTAGGGATAGACAAATACCATTATAAGCAGGAAAAATGAACTAAACTATTGAAATAGTAGTACAAAATGATAAGATAAGTAGTTTTCTAAGATCTAACAACACAATACATCTCTGTTGAAATAGAATGGCAGTTGAAAGTAGTCATCAGAAACCCTGGATCTGGTCGATAGCATTCGATAGACACTAAGAAGGACTTGACACACATGATATTGATTACCATTCAATGAACAATCAAATGACAACAATACAATTCCACATGAAACCCATTGAAATAATGCATAATAACTCAAACTACTGACTATCAATAAGTAGTGTAACGTAACACATAAAAAATGAAGACATCAGAAGAGGTGTGTAGTCAGAAAGCATATTACTTGATTGAATCGAAATTTCACAAGGAAATTCATTCTTATTCCATACATGACATGTTTAATGTTGAGTGATTCTGAAAAAAAGAAAGCTTCCTAGTAAATTTCAGTTTCAATACATGTTGATTAAGGCTGTAAACATTCGAAACAGAGAAAGATATTTTCTGTACTATGGTCAGCACGTAGTAAAGTGTTTTGAAAACAACTGCACACTACAATTTCCTCTTTTGTAAGAGTCCTAAAGGCTTCTGAAACGTTCATAAAATCTATTCGTCTGAAACTTGTAACTGGTAAATGTTTTTAAGCAAACAATGGATAGTGGCTAGCCGTGGAATCCAGGATGTACATATGCCAACAAGAGACTTATCAATTGTAGTCCTAAATAACACTGGAAAGATACAAGTAAAACAAAATCAAGTGAATGGTAAATGTTTTGTTGTCGAAATTACTGATGATCCCAGAATATTCCAGGCACATATTTTTTTATTATGAATTGAAATCTATTAGATGTAATTACTTCAGATCTCTTTCTTGTACAAAGTACCATGAAACCAGTAAACCCACTAAACTATTGTGTCCCACTAAAAACTCTAACTGTATCACTATCATTCCAATTTACTAAGTGAATAATTTGAAAGGGGAATATGAAAAGAGTTTTTTGAATTCAATTGGTCATAGTGTAGTATATGCTACTCATATTAACAGATGTAAGTAGTATGTAACACCAATCAAATGCATAATGCTTGTGAAAAGAAGATTGAACTAAAAGAGACCAGAAAGAAATTGAAAGAATCATAAAGAATGTAAAAGACAACTGATAGAAGATGTGCAAATGAAGTATTTATCCTATAATTTTCATACTTTACTGATAGATTGATTATCCTCATCAGGACTTCCTTCTCTACAGTAGTAGATTGTAAATTACCCAGATAACTTTGGAAACAACTAACTTTCATTACTGTCTATTCTTCTTGATTGTTTCTTAATCATTTACCATGTTGTTTTTTTCATATCACTTGGCTAACTGAATTGTAGGTACATTCATTGATAGATGTTATTTTGTGCATTCGAATATTTTAGAAATGAAATCACAAATGAAAATCAGTTAATGAACAAAGATCAAGTGAATGGTATTTTGGTTTGTATACAAATCAGAAAATCTGTGAATTTCTTGATCTGTGTAATCATGTTCTTTCATGATTTATACTTTCTTGTAATAGAAAATACATTGAACATTTCAAAGAAGAATTAATCAATAATGATGATGTATAGTGTTTACTACTTATATCGATATAAGTAGTATATACCGTTAATCAGGTATAGAATGTCTCGCAGTAGAGAGTTGAGCATATCGAGGAGAGAAGAACGGGAACAGAAAGTAATTATGAAAATTTTGCAAATGTAGTATCGCAGAATGATAATTCGATTTCACCAAGTAATCAAATAACAAATGTAAGCGGTTGTTCTCACCTTAGTTCTCATTCACTACATCTAGAATGTAATAAGAGTCTTGATTGATTAGAAAAATGTGGAAAGTCATCGAGAAACAAAGCTGTAAGTCTATATAAAATAATCCATCTAGTTGATCGGTCATTATAAGACACTACTACTACTACTACTACTACTACTACTACTACTACTACTACTACTACTACTACTACTACTACTACTACTACTACTACTACTACTACTACTACTACTACTACTACTACTACTACTACTACTACTACTACTACTACTACTACTACTACTACTACTACTACTACTACTACTACTACTACTACTACTACTACTACTACTACTACTACTACTACTACTACTACTACTACTACTACTACTACTACTACTACTACTACTACTACTACTACTACTACTACTACTACTACTACTACTACTACTACTACTACTACTACTACTACTACTACTACTACTACTACTACTACTACTACTACTACTACTACTACTACTACTACTACTACTACTACTACTACTACTACTACTACTACTACTACTACTACTACTACTACTACTACTACTACTACTACTACTACTACTACTACTACTACTACTACTACTACTACTACTACTACTACTACTACTACTACTACTACTACTACTACTACTACTACTACTACTACTACTACTACTACTACTACTACTACTACTACTACTACTACTACTACTACTACTACTACTACTACTACTACTACTACTACTACTACTACTACTACTACTACTACTACTACTACTACTACTACTACTACTACTACTACTACTACTACGACAACTGTGATTACGTAACGATGAAATGAAATATATTACCCATGGAAGAAATCATACATTCTCTGTTGATTGCAACTAACCTGTTGATTATTCTGTATAATTTAATGTAATGTAGGATACAAATTTTGATTGAGTGAAGTTACGTTCTGTCAGTACAATACAAAAATACTGGGAATCATAAATCTCTACACATCCAGAGATTTTTCACAATAAAGTATTTGTAGGGTCAGTGAAATTTCACTGAACCATGGCCAAATCATTCGGCACCTGTGTCAGTAATTATCGAACAGCTCATTGATCTCTTTTAAGGTCAAAGGACAAACAACACGCATCGGTTGATAGTACGTCATGGACTAGCCTATGATGTCATGATCACACTTCCGATTGTACCGACTTAAAATATTATATTTCTGTGATAATGTCCTTTGTATTGTACGATCTCCAAATTATCCATAATACCTGGAAGCAACGAAGGAGTAATCCACATTAAATACTGACCTCGAGGTAGGACTGTTCATTACACCATTTCCATCTAACTTGTGAAGGCTCCTAATCATTCGACAATAGATCAGTCAAATCATTGTAATGGCTAGTTCAAAATGATGTATTTAATTTATAATAAAAAAAGAAATTAAATTAAAACATATCTTTTTGTAAGCAATGATGGATAGTAGCTAGCAGTAGAATCCAGTTTGACGCGCGTTTCGTCCTATTCGGGACTCGTCAGCTGGATGATGTACCTGCATCCCAGAGTTGATGGACACTCTGGAACTCGACTCCAGTACCGTTCACCTCAAACGCTTTTGCGTTATCTACTCAGCTAGTGAGTCCTGATAGCCACTTGCTTGTGCAATGCGGTGAATGTAAATTCACTTGATATCATTTGCAGGTATATTCAGCTGATGAGTCCCAAATAGGACGAAACGTGCATCAAACTGGATTCCATTGCTAGCCACTATCCATCATTGCTTACAAATCACTTGTGAATTAAGGTAATATCGAAGCATACGCACAGTATGCACATATGCCAATCACAGACTGATCAATTGCAGTGTTAAACCTCAATGGGAAGATACAAGCCAAACAATACCAAGTGAATTTAAAACTTATCTTACTAACTAATTAACCTTTTAAATGACCTTACATTAATTCCAATAATTTGTTACTATGGTTACTAAAATCAAAATATTTTTAAGTAAAGAAAATAAAATTAACCTCAATATTTTTTCATCAATTTACTAAACTTATATCAGATAGAAAAAAAAGTACATTCCTAATCGACTAAATTGAAAAACTAAAATAATGAATTCAATATAAGATTTACACCTCAAAATGAAATCGACTAGTATTTCAGGCAACTCCACCTGTAGCTCTTCTAGAGTTACCTCCGATTCCAAACTCGGGTAAATGTGGAGGGTTGAGTATGGAGTTAACGAATCTATCCCTCAGAAAATTAACTCCCTTAAAAAAAACGCTAGTCAAACTGATGAATGACTTATGCTACTCCACGAGGAGTAACAGATATTTAAAAAGTATTTTAAACGGAACTATAGATGAACCAACCAGTTATAAGATAATAGGGGTCGGATTTTAGCGCGATATTCGTTCATGGCGTTTTAACATTTTAATTTATATATCAGTTCGTGATGAACACTGGAGATCCAATTTTTCATACTGCTTTAATGCTCCACATTTGGTCCAAGTTAGTAGGTAAATACTCTCAAGTCCTATTTAGCTTCGCTTAAAGGTCGTCCATATATTATAGTCTCACTAGTATTTTTTTCAAAAAAATGTTTTGTTTATAATTAAACTTGGCCAATTTCAATTAGTTAGACCACCATTGGTAACTTGATGGTCGCTTGATGACCGTTTCATTCTAGTTTGAGTTTGTTTGACAGTGTGCATCTACGACCGTACAACGGGGAATCTAACCCAGGACGTTAGGTCTCATATGCAAACTCTTAACCTCTAATGAAGTACAGTGCGTGTCGAGTGCGAGAAAGTTACCACGGCAGCCAGTAGATAAACGGTAGGGAAATATTGTGAATTAATTGAAGCTAGATATTAACGCTGATGCTTAGAGGCTCAGTGGTCGATCGTGTGTGAAATCGAAGGTGTTATATTCGATCCCCGGTTGTAGGGTCATCGATGCTCGTGGCTGAAGAGTCCCATACTATAACGAAATGGACATGGAGTTACTGCATATTTTCTATGGTTGTCTAGCTGAGGTTAGTTCATGATTTAATCTATGAAAATATACAATCTCCACAAATTCTTGATACCAAAATAGTGAATCTTTCCAGTTAAATCCATGGATAATTCTGGTGAAAACTTTCCTGAAAATCGAAAAACATTCGATATACACTTATTCAATTACATTTCCATTATAGATGTAATGTACTTCTGTTTATTTATTTAATGCAATGGAAAGGATAATATCCACATTTTGGTTGTATTCTACAATATATACCGTAGCAAGATAAATGTGAACATGTTAAATCACACAAAAACTGACGGCCTTCTTCAAGAACATGTGATGTGGTGAATTATCTAGTAGCCCAACACCTAGTTCATATATCTTGAGATAGTAGTTATGTATAACCATTTTGATTGTTGGCTAAAACCTTCTTGGAATAACTTCGATATTAATTTATTGTAAGATATACACATCATTTGAACAACAATATCGACTTTCTCATACTTCATAGGTGTTGAAAGATACATAGTTTGAAGATAAATCTGTCTGAATGGCATTCACTTGGTATTATTTTTTTACTTGAATCTTCCCATTGTTATTCAGGACTGTAATTGATCAGTCTTTCTAATTGGCATATGGGTATCCTGTGCGGATTGCCTCGATATAGCCTTAAGTCACAAGCTTTTTGAGTAACGATGGATAGTGGCTAGCAGTGGAATCCAGTTTGACGCACGTTTCGTCCGATTTGGGACTTGTCAGCTGGATGTACTCTGTCCGAATGACAGTTTTTAATTAGTAAGTTGTTTAGAATTTCTTACCTACTTAGTTACTTAGGCCTGTTATCCCTCGTGGATAAACATAGGCTGCTCACCAGTTTTTGATAAAGATTTTTTTCTACGGGATTGGGTTGCTGACCCCATGCTCAACTATCCTCCTTTTCCACGTCTTGAGAGCGGTAGTAACTCTAGGAGTGCTACAGACGGAGTTTTAGAAGTTTTAGTCTACATTAAATCAATGTTTTCTACTTGGAATATTATGTTATAACTAAGATCCAAATGTTCATGACTTAAAAAGGGGAAATGACTAATGAACTTTCCGTTATATCTATCTCTGATAAGCTGTTCTGTTGAAAGCATGTTATTATAACCATGACTACTATTCATACTTAAGGATATCTGTCAACTATGACAAACAGATTTTATCTATATTGTACATTCAACATGATAATCTTGGTAATACAACGACATTCTATATACTAGTTCATGAATCATTTATCTACTGAGATCCACAGTTATTCAAGACTATTTTGGATATCAGAAGGGGTTTGTGGAGATTTTTAGAAATTTTCACAGATTGAAATCATGAGTCAGTTGAAGCTAGACCACCATTGAAAACCTGGAAGCACTGGACGGCCGTTTCGTCCTAGTATGGGACTCCTCAGCAGTGCGCATCCACGATCCCGCACCACACGGAGCTCGAACCCAGGACCTACTGGCTTCGCGCGTGAGCACTTAACCATTAGACCACTGAGCCGGCATCCAACGGTGTTAATGTCTAACTTCAACCAATCCACGAAGTCGCGCCACCATATACCATTGTCTTCAGTGAGCTGATATCTCACAACAGACCTGGTTGTACTCCACTGGTAACAGCTTGGATATGTCAGGATGACTTTTTTTCCCAACATTACTTTCGTTTTAGGGTTTTAAATCTTCACATATATCAGTCTTTGTGTTCTTACTTATACGTTAAAGGAATCGCAGTAATTCCTTGTATTCAAGTATAAATGATAAATGATTCCAACATATAAATCAGTGACAACTAGAGAAAACACAATTTGTAACTCAGTCATCATAATAATCAACGACGACTTGTCATAACAATTAACAAAGGGGGATTTCAGAAATTAGGAAAGTCATAACAATTTTATATGTTCTTGTCTTGACAAATTTACAAAAGTGTAGGGCAATACATTTTCTATTATCTCGTTGTAATCTCATCCATAGAGCAATATATCATTATACAATTAACTGTATTATAATCATTTATCTATAGAATTATGTATTTATCAAGCTTATACAATGTCATATTATTTATTCACTCTGCTTTGTTCTGATTTATCGAAATCATTCAATATCTGATACGTCTAAAGTATGACCTAAAGGAATTAAATCATCTTAACATTTCATTGGCTAATTATGATTTATATCAGAAGGGGGGATTTTGTAGATATTATAATCATTTTAATAATTGAGATCATGTTCAAGCTAGACCACCATGGAAAACCTGAAAGCACTGAACAGCCGTTTTGTTCTGTTGTGGAACTCTTCAACAGTGAGTATCCACAATCCTGCCTCGTGAGATTTGTTATTGATTGGAACTATGAACTACAGATAATGAATATGCTTATGTACATTATAAACAATTAAACTCCATATATCAATCATAATGACTACTATTAAACTTATTATATTAACGTTTTGAGTAACTTTGATCAATGGGAAAAATACAAACGTGGTCGACTTGTATTTGTTAGATGATTAATTTTGTAAAACTGTTTTGTAGATAAATTAACTTGGTATTATTTACTTAAAACTTCCCATTGATGTTTAGGACTGCAATTGATCAGTCTCATTGACATATGTACATACTGTATTTATTGCCTTAACTCACAAATATGATAAAAAAATGATGGATAGTGGCTAGCAATGGGATCCAGTTTGATGCACATTTCGTCCTGTCTGTGACTCGTCAGCTGGATGATGAACCAACATCTTCGAGTTGATGTTCACTTTGGGACTCGAACTCAGTGCCATTCATT